ACTTCTTTTTTATCTTGTGTTGTTAAAACTTCCATATATATCTATTAAAGGTTGAGTTACTGGACTCACTAAACCAATGATGGGTAGCATAACCGACATTTAGGATCCAATGTATTCCATGTTGTGGAGTGCCTTTTTTCGAGCAACCAACAGAAGCTCTGGCTCTTCATTAGTACAAAAAAGAGCTGACCAACTGATAATGGAAACCGGCCAAATACTTACCCTTCCCTAGCTAGTTACTGTTAGAGGAGCAACTTTCAATAGGCCAAGGAGCGAATATATATTACATGGTACTTGGAGTACAAAGTAAGGAAAGTTGGACTACTATGAATATGTAAGGAGACCTAGACCAATACTAATACTCCTTAACAGTTACAGACTACAGCAGAACTCATTCTGGCTAAAGTTATAACTTCCTGATTTGCCTGATGCACTTCTGGTTCATGCTGATAATATTTCAAACTGTCATGTCGAACCATTAGTGAATTCATTGCCACTTCCATATAAAGTGCAAACACCCCATTTGCAAATTAGTCTGACTTGCGTCGCTTCTTGTGAAAACCTCAGATTGCTTTCTCTTATAGATAATAATAATAATAATATTATTATTATATCTCAACAGCTTACTGTGAGTATTTTGGCAATGTAGGTGATCGGACGACTCGACAACAGTGCTATATCTGCAACTGGTGCGAAGTTAGCATTCAAATCTAATGAAGAAGTTGCTGTCGAGGTTGCTACAATCCCATTGGATGAAGTCATTCCAGATGCAGAGCGAGTGGTTCTGATCAAAATTGACGTTCAAGGTTGGGAATCTCATGTTCTGAGAGGTGCATCAAAGTTGCTCTCGAGGAGGAGAGGTGAAGCTCCCTACCTTATATACGAAGAGGACGAGCGCCTGCTGCAGGCGAGCAACAGTAGTGCACAAGAGATAAGGGCATTTCTTGGCAGTGTTGGTTACAATCAGTGTACGCGGCATGGGACGGATGCTCACTGTACAAAAGAATAGACAAAGCTTTTTCTGCCTGGTGGTTGGACGCCCCTTAGCTGGGGATACATAGAACAGTCAAATAGGAAATCCTAAGCTGTAAGTTTTCCCCTTATCTTAGGCAGCAGTTCAGATGCTCCATCCTTATAGTTTTCTCCTTGACTCCACGGTTTCTGTTTATTTCTTTTAGGTTTGTTTGTTGATTGCTGGATCTTTTAACATCATATGCTATACATGCTTTGTCTAATGGCATTTTAACGCATGCTTGTTCTCATTAACTTCATGTTTGTACTGTCAGTCTTAATGGATATTCCCTTGAAGTAATGAAATTCCTGTGATTAAGATTCTAAATCTATGCTTGCTAAACATCCTCAGTTATACCATAAATTTAATATTTTGCCCGTTCATCTTGGAGCATTTGAGGATTGGCCACATATCGAAAACTCAAATGCACTTAAGTGCAGCAGCAGCGATTCCTCTTGGATTTGGCTTCACCTGCGTCTTGCGAAGCATGTACGCACTTTTGTTTGAGCTGAATAGTTATGGATTTGAATGCTAACTTCACGCCATGTCCTTCGTTATAAATCAGTTATTTCTGCTGGCTGTCAGTTGCCTGAATTATACCTTCGTTATAAATCAATTATTGCAAAGACGGTTGTTATTCAATAGAGTAATTTATTTAATTCCCAGATTAGTTTGGATATGCACATGTTAATTCCAGATTTGCATGGAAATTTTGTACTCATAACTTGGTCGCCTACATCTACCAATTCGGGTTTCATCCCTTGTGAAGAGGAATGAGACTACGGTAGGTCGCATGGCTCGAGGACATAGAGCGCGAAGCACTGGAAAGAACCAGGGAAGAAGAGAAGGAAGCCACACCCACCACAAGCAGTCACCAGGATCAAAGTTGAGCAAGAGATCATCAATTTGTCAGTCTCGTCAGATGACGAGGAGGATCATCAAGCTCGAACTCATCAATGTGTACAAGGGCCATCTACCTGTACTCCTTCCATTCCTAAATATAAGTCTTTTTAGAGATTTCTATATCGATTACATACGGATGTATATAGATGTATTTTAGAGTGTAGATTCCCTCATTTTGCTTCGCATGTAGTTCATATTGAAATCTCTAAAAGACTTATATTTAGAAACGGAAAGGATGGATTATTCCTGTTGAGAAATTAATGGAAAGGGGTAGTGGTGTAGTGCCCGGTTGAAAAAACACACTAAGGCCATTACACGAACCGTGCTGGTGGAACCAGGAACCAGTATCTACCGGTGGGAAATCCACCATCTAGATCCGTGCTGGTGGAACCCATAAGATTTTTTTTTCCACCTCCGATTCGGGATACGAGACCTATACAGATGCAATACGAGATGGAGCCACGAGGGGGCACAGACAAGACCGGCGGCGGCACGGCTGTACCACGAGGCCGGCGAGGAGCGGCGCCGAATCACGCTGGACCGCGGTGGGCGTTGGGGAGAGCTGCTCCAGCAAGGTTCCACCACGACGGCCACCCACCACAATGGGTCACCGCGCACGGGCGTCGCTGGATCCGGCGACTCCAAGATTGACCGTAACCGGATCTGGTGAGTAATGAAGCCCATCTCCCCTAACCTGTCTCCATCTGTACTTAATGATTTCCGTTTTATTTTGCATGATTTGAACATCCCTTGCATCTTTACCAGATGAATGGCCTCCCCTGCTCCTTCAATTTCGGATGTTTGTATGTTTGTGACAGAGAGCATCGGTTATTGTTGTGGAATGTGTGTGAAATACATTGAAACATATTTTGAACGACATGATTTATGAATTGTGGGATCGAGTGAAACCAATTGATATAATTGAGAAGTTGATAAATGCATCGATGTGTGTGTCATTTTGTTTTGTGATCTGAAATTGTATAGAATAGTGTGCACATATGTGAAATTGATAGTCTGTGAAATATGAATTTACAGTCTTTTGTAAAAATGTGGTAGTGAAATTTGTTTTTTGAAAGGATTGAAACAGTTCTTTGATGATTGAGATAATGAGTTTCACTCGTTTTAAAATATGGCATTGGCATTGGAATAACTGAAATCACATTGTAAAAAATGAAATTGTTTATGCCACTCTTTTGAAATACTAAGTTTCACTTTTTGAAATATGAAATATATGAAATAGCCGTTTCTAATATCCGCAACATGTTATTTCAATGAGATATATATTGAAATAGATTTTCAAATATGAATTGAAATTTTTTCCGCTACTTTTGGAATATTCAATCTGAATCTTTTTTGAAAAATATGAAATTTTAATAGCTGAAATCACCTTTTAAAGAAATTGCAATTGTATTTTTTTTACCAATCTGAAATAATCAGTTTCACTTCTTTTTTTGTGAGTTTGGAATTGTGGGATCTAGTGAAATCAATTGATATAATTGAGAAGTTGATGAATGAATCAACTTTTGTGTCATTTGGTTTTGTGATCTAAAATTGTACACAATAGTGTGCACATATGCGAAATTGATAGTCTGTGAAATATGAATTTACAGTCTTTTGTAAAAATGTGGTAGTGAAATTTGTTTTTGAAAGGATTGAAATCAGTTCTTTGATGATTGAGATAATGAGTTTCAATCGTTGTGAAATATGGCATTGGCACTGAAATTAACTGAAATCACATTGTAAGAAAATAAAATTGTTTATGCCACTCTTTTGAAATAGTAAGTTTCACTTTTTAAAAATATGAAATGTATGAAATTGCTATTTCTAATATATGTATCTTGTTATTTTGCTATTTCTAATATATGTATCTTGTTATTTCTATGAGATACGTATTGAAATAGATTTTTAAATATAGATTGAAATTGTTTCCGCCACTTTTGGAATATTCAATTTCAATCTTCTTTGAAAAATATGAAATTTTAATAGCTGAAATCACCTTTTTAAAGAAATTGAAATTGTATTTCTTTTACCCATCTGAAATAATTGGTTTCACTTCTTTTTTTGTGAGTTTGGAATATATGAAATATATTTTTTTAAAAATAAAAAATGAGTTTTAAAAGATTTCAAATCAATTTAAAGTGAGAGGGGTTGATCCTTTGAAAAGAAACGAAGCATGTACTTCTGTAGTTCGTGTGTGTGTATCAAGTTTTAAATAGCCGGCTATAGCCCCGCTATAGCTGTTTGAGGGTGTTGCCGCTAAATGATTTCATGTATAATTTACCGCTATAGCCCCGCTACAGCTGTTTTTAAGGGTCACCGCTAAATGCCATAGCCCGCTATTTAAAACATTGGTGCGTATTTGTAAAGTGAGGGGAGTGGCAGGCGTGGCTGAAATCACATGGGTGGGTCCAGCTGGTCAAATCACGTGAGTGGTCCCACTCCCAATCCGATGAAATAGAGAGGTTTAAATAAAGAATAGATTGAAATATAAGAATACAAATTCTGACAACTTTTGAGATGGGCCGGCTCCAGTAAAAAAAGGTTTGCGGGCCATTTCACAAGCTGTCGAAGCAATCAGCTCCCAACCACCACCATAGCCGAGCGGAAGGAGAACAAGCTCTGGTAGTAAAAACTCCAATTTGACAATATTTCTGTTTCTAAATTAAACTGCCAAAACGTCTACGTACATATTCCATCTGTCCGGAAATATTTGTTGTAGAAGTGAACAAAAATGGATGTATCTAAAATTAAAATATGTCTAGATACATCTAATTTTTCGGCAAGTATTTCCGAACGGAAGGAGTATTTAGGAACGGAGCGAGTACTATATATACACTCGATCGAGGATGGTGGGCTGTGTCGATCCAGGTCCATGTTAGCGGGGACGAAGTATGGATGGATTGATCGATTCATGTCGCGTTTTGGTAGGTGCCATGCGTGGTGCACGCCGCTCCACGCCACCCAGACCCAGGCCAAGATCAACAGCTCTCGGCTCACTCACTATATATACACTCCATCGAGGCCAGAGGCATCACATTCACACGCCGATCCACCGCCACCTGGAGCGATACTGCTAGCTACGACCATGGACGCCAACGCCGATGCCCGCTCCTCGTCCTCGCCCATGCACATCGTCATCTTCCCGTGGCTCGCGTTCGGGCACATGATCCCCTTGCTGGAGCTTGCAGAGCGCCTGGTGGCGCGCGGCCACCGCGTCTCCTTCGTCTCCACGCCGCGCAACCTCAGCCGGCTCCGGCCGGTCGTCGGCGTCCACTTCGTCGCCCTGCCGCTGCCCCGCGTGGACGGCCTCCCGGAGGGAGCCGAGGCCACCTCCGACCTCCCGCCCAGTCCCGGCAACCTGGCCGAGCTTCTACTCAAGGCCGCCGACGGCCTCGTCGGCCCATTCTCCGCCTTCCTCGACGAGGGCAAGAAGCCAGATTGGCTCGTCCTCGACAACCTCCACTACCTGGCAGCGGCCGCCGCCGCCGACCGAGGCGTGCCGTCCGTGATGTTCCTCCCCTTCGCCGCCGCGTCGACCGCGCTCTGGGGCGTGCCGCGTGTGTCCACGGTGGTGGACCCAGAGCTAGGGGCGACCGTGCCCCAGCGCTTCGTGCTAACCTACCAGTGCTGCAAGATCGTCGCCCAGCGGTGCTGCGTGGAGTTCGACCCCGAGGCCGTGCCTCTGCTGCCGGGCGTCCTGGGCAAGCCGTTCGCCCCTATGGGCCTGCTGCCGCCGCCGCCTCTGAGGGCGAGTTCGAATAATGAAGGTGACGAGCTCGTGTCATGGCTGGACCGGCATCCGGCAAAATCCGTCGTCTACGTCGCGCTGGGAACCGAAGCGCCGCTGACCACCGAGCTGGTGCACGAGCTGGCCATCGGCCTGGAGCTCGCCGGTACGCCGTTCCTGTGGGCTCTGAGGAAGGTCGGCGACCAAGACGTTCTTCCTCCGGGCTTCGAGGAGCGCATCAAGGGCCGCGGCCTCGTGGCGATGGGGATGGTTCCGCAGACCAGGGTGCTAGCGCACGGCTCCGTGGGCGCGTTCCTCACGCACAGCGGGCCGGGCTCCGCCATCGAGGGGATCCAGTATGGGCATCCCCTCGTCATGCTGCCCTTCTTCGGAGACCAACAGACGGGGGCTCAGTTCATGGAGAGGAAGAAGGTCGGTCTGCGGGTGCCGAGGAACGGGGAGGATGGACTGTCTTTTGACCGGCAAGGCGTCGCGTCCACGGTCCGGGCCGTCGTGGTGGACGAGCAAGCAGGACGCGTCTTCGCCGCCAATGCCAACAAGTGGCAGCAGGTTGTCGCGGACACTGCCTGCCATGAGAGGTACATCGATGAGTTCGTTCAGCAACTCCGATTCTACAAGGACCAGTGAAGTGACTCCATGGCTAATGGAGGCGACAATGACTCGTGCGTACGTGCATCACCCTCCGTCGAGTCGGAGATTCGTTCCACGTTTTATGGTTTCGGCAAAGTTTGGCTTCTTCCGTAATGTTGCTGTTAGCACGGTGTGTCATGTGTGCGTGTTCATGCTCACCGTGCACGTTCTCTTGAGTACGTCTTTCGAGTTATGCTGTGAAAATAAACTCATGTGAAAATCGGTCCTACCCCAAGTTAATAAGCCAACAAATTCTTTTCACTACTTGTTTCCTCAGCTAGCTTATTTGTGGTCACGGCTGATTTGAATTCAAAGAGAACAGTACATGGTTATTCTGATTTCTTCGTGACAAACAAGAGTCTCTAGGTAGCCACGCTCCTCCCCCGCGCCGCAGGCCACTCCGGCCGCGGCGGCCACAAATCCGGCACTCATGGCCCCCCGTCCGGTCAGTCCCTCGAGCCCCGCCCCTTGCGGGCACGGGGCGGCCTCTCGCCCCAGCGGTTCCTTAGTTTCGGGCAGTCCGTCGCGCGCTCCTGCCTCGCCATCTTCACCGGCCACCACCCTAGTGGGCTCAGATCCGGCTTCCACGCCGCGTATCCTGCATCGGGGAGAGTCATCCAGCTCGAGGCCGCGGCTTACTCCGACGGATTTGGGCGCGTCCCCTCTTTTTGGGCCGAGCCGCCTTAAATCCATCGTGGTCGCTCCGCCTGCTGCAGTCGACCTTCCCCTTTTAGGCTCGGAGGAGGGATGGACAGAGGTCACCTCCAAGAAGGGTAGGCGTGCAAGAGAAGACCTTGCGGTCCATCCGCAGGGGCGGCCGGGGCGCCGCTCGGACCGGCAACCCGCATTCACTGCCAAGGCCGGCCGCAGCGCCTTCTTAGCAGATTCATAGGGCAAATGCTTCCAGTGCCTCAGCAAGCTCCACCGACGCAAAGACTGCAGAGACCCCCTACGCTGCATCATTTGCGAGCAGCTTGGTCACTTCGGCTGGGAGTTCTCGCAGAACCCGAGGAACGGGCCTCCGGGCAGGTCCGTCTGGGAGAGGATGCCGCCGGCAGCGCCCCGGGCCCCGGTGCGCGAGCGTCTTCGTTTTCCTTCGCCTCCTGCGCCCTCTTCACCGCCACCCCCCTCCCCATCGTCGCTCCATGGATCGGTTCCTCTACTACGACCCCTCGCGGCGCCCGCGCGTCAGCAACAAGGTGGTGGTGGCCTCGCACGCGCTAGAGCGTGAGGAGTTTGTCCTGCGCCTGCACGCCGTCACCCTCACCACCGCCGACGGGGTCCACTCCGCCAATCCTATGGCGGTGGGCAAGGCCATTGAGGCGCAGCTGGGCACCCTCCCGTTCCAGCTGTGTGTCACCTCCCACCACCCGGAGGCCTTCCTCGTCCACTTCGACCTCCCGGCGCACCGCGACGACGCTGTGCGACGCGGCGTCCCGAAGGTGGACGGCGCCAAGTTCTTCATCCGCGCCTGGCACGAGGACGACCATGCTGCCATCATAAAGCTTTCCCTGCACGTCCGCATCGTTGTTGAGGACCTCCCGATGCAATTCTGGTCGCTGGAGGGTGCGGAGGAGGCGTTCGGCGACTTCAGCCGCATCGACCGCCTCGACAGCAGGACGCTGGAGCAGGGCAACACCAGAACCCTCACGTTCTGGCTCTGGGATGTCGTGCACATCCCGACCAAGAGGGCGCTCTGGGTGCTCAAGAGGGGAGCGGGGCGAGTTGACGAGATCCTCGACTACTCTCCCCCAGACCGTCGTGTGCCTCCGCCGCCAGGTGTGCGCCGCTACGACCTGCTGCTGCATGTGGATCGAGTTGAAGACTGGACCCCGCTCTCGCCGCGCTCTTCGCACTCGGGCCAGAGAGGGCTCCCCTCCTCCTCCTCCTCCTCCTCCGACCGCCCCTTCCCTCGCGTCGAGCCTGGTTCCTGGAGGGGTGGCATTGAAGACGGACAAAAGCAGGGTCGCCGTCCGGCTGCTTGGCTGGCCACGGCTACTTACCAGGCGGCTCCTTGGTCGGAGAGGCGCAACCACGACGAAGATGGCGCCGGTGGGTAGCGTCGCTCGTGGCGTGATGCGTTCCTGGGCAACTCCTGCCACGCCAAGGGTAAGTCCACCGACGTCATTGAGGCGACATCAAGATGGCGCAGCAGGACCCCGGTGGGGCGTTGGCACGACGTCCTGGGTCAGGGGCGCGCCAAGTGCGAAGAGGCGGCCGAGGTGACGCCCCTGCGGGCTACCCCGCCGCTCCCTCTCCGCCCGGTGGTGGCGGTCCAGCGTCTCGACGCCCTGGAGCTGGACCCATGGCTGCCTTCTTCTCCTTCACCGGTGGTCGTCCGCTCTCCCCTGCGCCGCGCACGGACGTCATGCAGCTCGAGTTTGAAAATGCCATGCTCGACGCCCTCAACTCCTCGCTGGCCTTTGAAGATGGCAGACGCTCGCCGCCGCATGCCAGGACGCGCGCTGGTGTGATAGAAGATTTTTATGAAGATGATGACATCCTCCCATGCATCGTTGACATGTCTGCCCCGCTCTCCAGCCCCTGCATCAGCTCGCCCGCTCCGATAGCGGTGGGGTTCCACGTCAACGCGATCACGCAGAAGGTGGACTGCTTGCAGCTCGGCGGAGGCCAGGGCCCCAGCATCCAGGAGGTGGGGGGCGGCAGCAGCCGCGACGGACTGCCACCGCTCTTCGCTTCGGTGCCCCAGGCCGTCCTACCTAGTCCTCCGGTGCGGCCGCGTCCATCTGCACCACCCAAGGTGCGGGCCACCTCCGCCCCCTCTCGCCGCAGTGCTAGGCAGGCGGCGGCGGGCTATCCGGTGCCGGTCGCTCAGAGGGCGGCGCTGCGCCTGATACGTCCATTTTGCATCATGCTTTTATATCGATATTTATTGCATTATGGGCTGTTATTACACATTATGTCACAATACTTATGCCTATTCTCTCTTATTTTACAAGGTTTACATGAAGAGGGAGAATGTCGGCAGCTGGGATTCTGGGCTGGAAAAGGAGCAAATATTAGAGACCTATTATGCACAGCTCCAAAAGTCCTGAAACTTCACGGAAGCTATTTTCAGAATATATAAAAAATACTGAGCGCAAGAAGTTTCAGAGGGGGCCCACACCCTGGCCACGAGGGTGAGGGGCGCGCCCTACCCCCCTGGGCGCGATCCCCTGCCTCGTGGGCCCCCTGGTGGCCCTCCGATGCCCATCGTCTACTATATGGAGTCTTTCGTTGAGGAAAAAAATCATAAGCAAGCTTTCGGGACGAGACTCCACCGCCACGAGGCGGAACCTTGGCGGAACCAATCTAGGGCTCTGGCGGAGCTGTTCTGCCGGGGAAAATTCCCTCCGAGAGGGGGAAATCATCACCATCGTCATCACCAATGATCCTCTCATTGGGAGGGGGTCAATCTCCATCAACATCTTCACCAGCACCATCTCCTCTCAAATCCTAGTTCATCTCTTGTATCCAATTCTTGTCTCTAAGTCTGGGATTGGTACATGTGGGTTGCTAGTAGTGTTGATTACTCCTTGTAGTTGATGCTAGTTGGTTTACTTGGTGGAAGATCATATGTTCAGATCCTATATGCACATTAATACCCCTCTGATTATGAACATGAATATGCTTTGTGAGTAGTTACGTTTGTTCCCGAGGACATGGGAGAAGTCTTGCTATTAGTAGTCATGTGAATTTGGTATTCATTCGATATTTTGATGAAATGTATGTTGTCTCTCCTCTAGTGGTGTTATGTGAACGTCGTGTTGGAAATATGCCCTAGAGGCAATAATAAATTAGTTATTGTTATATTTCCTTGTTCATGATAATCGTTTATTATCCATGCTAGAATTGTATTGATAGGAAACTCAGATACATGTGTGGATACATAGACAACACCATGTCCCTAGTAAGCTTCTAGTTGACTAGCTCGTTGATCAATAGATGGTTACGGTTTCCTGACCATGGACATCGGATGTCGTTGATAACGGGATCACATCATTAGGAGAATGATGTGATGGACAAGACCCAATCCTAAGCCTAGCACAAGACCGTGTAGTTCGTATGCTAAAGCTTTTCTAATGTCAAGTATCATTTCCTTAGACCATGAGATTGTGCAACTCCCGGATACCGTAGGAATGCTTTGGGTGTACCAAACGTCACAACGTAACTGGGTGGATATAAAGGTGCACTACGGGTATCTCCGAAAGTGTCTGTTGGGTTGGCGCGAATCGAGACTGGGATTTGTCACTCCATGTAACGGAGAGGTATCTCTGGGCCCACTCGGTAGGACATCATCATAATGTGCACAATGTGACCAAGGAGTTGATCATGGGATGATGTGTTACAGAACGAGTAAAGAGACTTGCCGGTAACGAGATTGAACAAGGTATCGGGATACCGACGATCGAATCTCGGGCAAGTATCATACCAGTAGACAAAGGGAATTGTATACGGGATTGATTGAATCCTTGACATCGTGGTTCATCCGATAAGATCATCGTGGAACATGTGGGAGCCAACATGGGTATCCAGATCCCGCTGTTGGTTATTGACCAGAGAGATGTCTCGGTCATGTCTACATGATTCCCGAACCCGTAGGGTCTACACACTTAAGGTTCAATGATGCTAGGGTTATAGGGAAAGTATGTATGCGGTTACTGAATGTTGTTCAGAGTCTCGGATGAGATCCCGGACGTCACGAGGAGTTCCGGAATGGTCCGGAGGTAAAGATTCATATATAGGAAGTGTGGATTTGGCCACCGAAAGTGTTCCGGGCATCACCGGTAATGTACCGGGACCACCAGAAGGGTTTCGTGGGTCCACCGGGAGGTGCCACCAGCCCCGGAGGCTTTAGTGGGCCAAGAGTGGGAAGGGACCAGCCCCTAGGTAGGCTGGGGTGTTGGAAATATGCCCTAGAGGCAATAATAAAATGGTTATTATTATATTTCCTTGTTCATAATAATTGTCTATTGTTCATGCTATAATTGTGTTAT